TGGGCTATGCCTCTACACTTCATGTTCCATCCGAGCCCCCTTCCCATCACGTTGCCCCAAAAGAACGAACCTGGACACACGATTGCTTGCGTCCCACGTGGTGAGTATATTGAAGTGTGAAGGAGTCCTGGAGAAGACTCCAGGAGGGATGTGTCCTTCACGCAGAAGGGAGATTAAGACCGTGTGGAATGGACGGCAGGGTCTGTCCACTGGGGAGCCGGCTCCTGAAGCCACCAGACCTGGTGCCCTGGCAGGTCCGAGGAGTAGTCAGGGTCCCCCAGAGGCAGCTCTTAGAAAAGGGACTCAAAACGGATGGCAACCAGAGGGCAGGTGAGCTCAGAAGGCCCAGCCGCAGCTGCGGAGTAGCAGCTCGGACCTCTCCTCGGGAAGACAGGTCAATGGAGGTGATGTCGGAAACGAGCAGTCCATTGGTGCTAGGTGGCTAATTTCAGCGTTAATTCCTCCTTGGTAATTACTGAATGACGGCCGATCCTGTTTTCTTCCATGATATATGAAGTCCCAAAAAGGTGCATTACAGAAGAGAATAAACATTCCAAAGCTCAACTATAGAAGGGGGACAAAATGAGCAGGGTGGTGCGGGTGAGGGGTGGCGGCGAAAAATAACCAGCTCAGAATACAGAGGGGGAAACAAGGGAAGCTTCTATGGTTACAGCCAAAGACCCCAGCCCTACCCGACTGCCCATTATCCATCAAAAGGCACATTGGTGAGCCTAAACCTTCATGAGAACATTTGGGCACAAAAAAGACTCTTTCAGAAAGGTTTTTCCTTTTAATGGGCTGGAGTTAGATGATCCCATTTGTGTAAGGTTTCCAGTATACATTATTAATAGCACTTCAATCAGTTCAACTTTTCTTACCTTTTATACCTCTGCATTCTTGGCCAACAGATTAAAAAATAAAGTTGACTGGGGTTTGAGTAGACTTCTCGTGCGATGCCTACAAGGCATTGCAGTGAGAGAGAGAGAGGAAGACAGTGAACGAGAAGCTCAGTCAGGGACGGCCACTGAGAAGGACATGTGAGGGACAGACTCAAACCAGACGGCCGGCCGCGTGTGCCGAGGCTGAGCAGGGACCAGAATGGACACAGCAAAAGTCAGTGGGTAGCAGGGCAGGTGCCCCCCCCCCCCCGCCCCCCCGCACGGTGACTTCTGCCGTGCCCAGTAGAACTCTGATCCGTGGCGTGTTCCACGGCTGACTCTCAGCAGTGGCTCGATCACCAGGTTCTGTCTTCTGATGTGCCCTCGGTACACAGCCACATCTTTCCCGCATCAGCTGAGCAAGACAAATGGTGGAGGCACCCAGGGGCTCTCACCAGGAATCATGCCTGGAGACGGCAAGAGCGCCGAAGCCTGAGGGGAGAGGACTTGAGGCACCAGGGAACGACGAGTAGTGGGAGGGCAGAGGAAGCCAGCGGGGGCGGGGGCAGACACGGTGTGCCTTCACCCAGCTGGATTAGCGGCGGTGGAGACCGTGTCGTGGAGGCCAGTGTGAATTTGGCTTTTACTCTTATTCCAAACAGAGTCTGGTGGGTTTGAAGCCGGGAGATGACCTACTTTATATTCCGAAGCCCCTCTGTGCCCTTGAGGCTGGGGCGGGGGTTCTAGTTTGAGTGGGAAATGATGGAGGCTTAGACCAGGGTGGCAGCAGTGGGTATTAGGGCTGTTTTGGAGGTAGGGCCAGACAGATGTCCTAGAGCAGCGGTTCTCAACCTGGGGGGTCACGACCCCTTTGGGAGTCGAGCAACCCTTTCATAGCGGTTGCCTGATTGATAACAGTAGCAAAATGACAGTTATGAAGTAGCAACAAAAATAATTTTAGGGTTGGGGGCGGGGTCACCACCACATCAGGAACTGTATTAAAGGTTCCCGGCATTAGGAAGGTTGAGAACCGCTGTTCTAGATGATGAGAGGGGGTGGGCCTAAGGAATTATGGTTATCAAAGATACTTCTTGGGTTTTTCACTGAAGTGGGCAGGGATGCCGTAGGCTAAGAGAAAGAAGACCGTAGGAGGCAGGAGTTTGGGGAGGGAATTGAGAGCTGTCTCAGGATGAGTTCAATTTGAGGATTCTCTCTGGCCTCCCCGGGGAGGGGTCAAGTGTACAATTGGCCATGAGTTTGTGGCTCTGAGGAGCCTTCAGCTCTTTGACTGATAAGCAAAGCCCAGTGAGAAGGATCTCTCGCTGAGTCTCCTTCCAAATGTGAGATGTTCCTCTCCTTCCCACGCCCTCTGTATGCTAATGACCTGTGTCTCCTTTCCTCCTTGTGGTTACGCCCTGCCTTTTCTTAGCATGGATTTAGAAAATCAAACCAGGGATTTTGTTGTTGACTTTGAGAATTAGATGTGAAAATACAGTTGACCACGACTAACTTCTGGGAGATGCTATCTCTCTGCACATTTGACACAGGAGTTCAAACAGAAGAATAGTCCTTACACTGCAAAACACCCCACCCCTCACCCCCCAACAGGATCCCGAGCCACCCACCCTCCTCTTATCAGCACCCTAGTGCCTTGCCCATCTTGTCCCGGGATCACGTTTGTCCACCTAAGACCTATCATGTAGACTCCACGTTTTGTTTACTAAAGAACAAGGTCTGAAATACTGTCTTCCCTCATCCAACATCCATTGCAGTTACATGGATGAGGAGATAAAAACGATGAATGTGCCACTCTTACTGCTTCCAAAAATCCCCCCAAAGTCTGTATGTGCCAATGTGCCTCCAAGAGAGCCTCTGTAGGAGACCCCCAACAGCGGCGTGCCAGTGGGTCTCCCTCGCGGCAGGGTCTGCAGAGGCCCGCTCCGGATTGTGGAGCTCACAGCTGCTCTCAGTCTGTTCCTTTGAGGCCCTGTGTTTTCCTGGGATGGGCAAGTCCCAGGCCCTGACCTGGAGGGTGGGGTAGGCGGGAGTGACAATGCATGCTAATTAGCACTGTGCAGAGCTGTCATCAGGAAACCAGAAGCCACATGGTCCCAACCTGGTTTGGGGTTGGCACATCCAATTCAAACCATCTGGCCTTTGTTTGGAAATGCCCTGGGAGGGTCCCGACCCTTTCTGGACAACAGAAGGGCTGGTGTTCTTGTGCCCTGAGCACTGCTGGAGGCTCCGAGGGATGCTGTGGGCGGTGCAGTAAGGGCTGTGATCGATTTGACTTCAGCACCCGGCATTCCTTCTTTGATTTGTTTGGCAAACAGGAGATGGTGTGAGCCGAGTTATAAATGTCCTCACTTAGAGGCAGGAGGAAACATGGATCTATGCCCTCCCGTATAAAACCCTTCTGTGACTGCCTGTCGCAGAAACTCAAATGCCTCCTGAGGTGGTCCTGCTGTGACGGTCTTCCTCCTTCCTCTGGCCTGAGAGCTTCTACTCTCCACCCTCTTTCCCTAGGGCTCTACGCTGACCATTCGGAGCTACATATTCCCAGTTCGTAGAGGGCCCCCGGCTCTCGCAGACCCTGGGCCTTCCCTCGACGGCCTGTGAGGGACACATGCTTTATCCTTGTTTCCTTTAGCTAACCGGTTTTCATCCGTCAGCTCTCGTCATCCCTGACTGCCCCTCGGGGAGTCACATCTGCTTGACCATCCTTGCTGTGCACTTCAGCTGAAGATCTGTTGTACTCCTTGTAGTCATTTGTGGATTGGGTCTCCCAGGCCTTGGGAGGGCAGGGACCTGGGCATATTCTGGTACCTTCACGTCCACAGTGCCAGGCGGATGTTTGAATGAAGGACAGTACCTGTCCATCCAAGCCGTGCCCTTTCAGATGTTTCCTAACTGTAACCAGCTGGATAGGACCCCACACCGAAGTCGGACGGATCGGAGCCTGGGAACTGGAGACCAACACGACGCCTCCACTCTCCAGACCTGACTTCTGCAGACTGTTTTCTGTTATTTAGAAGCTATCCCTTCTACCGTCACGAGCATTATTAAGCACAGTTTCTTAATATTAGTATATTGAAGACAAAACAGCTGGTAACCACATCAGGGTGTGTGCTGGGATATGTAAGCAGAGGACACCATGTCAGATACGCCCAGGCTTGGGTTCAGAATGGCCTTTGACACTGGCTACCTCTGAGCACATGGGCAAAACACACGCTCTCAGTTTGGCTCCATTGACTTGTCTTTAAAGTGGATGCCTAGTGTTAAGAATAAACGAGCCACAGCTTATCAAGTATTTGTTAAAGTGTGTGGCCATGAAAGGACACAATCCTAACTATGATGCTTACTGTGGGAGCCCTGGTAATGTGGTGACTAAAGCACCCCACGGCTGACCACCAGGGTGTCGGCTGGAAGCCCTCAGCCCCTTCTGAGGAGGAAGACGGGGCCATCTGCTTCTTTATGGACTGCAGCCCTGGGCATCCGATGTGGGACTCTTCTGTCCTGTCCCACAGGGGCAAGATGGGCTGGAGTCAACCTGAGGGCCATGCGTTTGATTATGATCACTCAGGTAATAAAAATAGATACACTTTAGTTTTTATGGTTTATAAGTTTTCCTTTTAAATGAACCCATTAAGATGGTGTGGTATAATGGGATTTAAATGAACTCATTAAAGTGGATTCCCATTTCCAGGTGGGTGGGACTATCAGTATGTGTGATGCCAATGCACATGCGCTCTGTATATGTGTATGTAGGGGTGTGCGGCTGAGTGGGGGTCTGCTGGAATAAGGGTTGGAATCAACTTGATGCCTGTGTGTTTCAATAGGTTGTTTGTTTTTGAGATGGGCAGGTTCCTTCTGTGAGGTAGACTTATGGTTGATTTTCATTTTCTTACTTTATAGATATATATATATCTATAAAGTAAGAAAAATATATTTATATATATATGCACATCCTATATTCCTCATGAAGTGGTGATGGAGTGGAGATTGGACATTTTCAGGGACAGACAGGAATTCGCTAGAGATGAAGAAAGCACGGGGCAGGCATGTCCCCAGTTTCCTGTCTGCTGGTCCGTCACTGAGCTTGGTACCCTTGGCTTTCGGCAGGGTTCTTCACCCAGATCTCCACCTTGGCTGACGTGCAAGAGAACGTCATGGAATACCTGCACGTCCTCAGCCGGCCCAAAGTAATCGACCAGGAGCACGACGTCGTGTGGACGGAAGCGTATATCGACAGCACTGTGAGTCCCTGGGCCCCTAGGAGCAAGGCTGTGGGGTGAAGCTCCTTGTGGGATGTGAGAGCTATCCTGTGCTTATTTCAGAAGAGGGCAGCCACGCCACTAGTCCCTAGTTGTGGGGCTCTGTGGCATTTTCCCTGCACTACCCTGTTTGCATGGGTCACCTTGGCAAGCATAGACTGGTGAAAACCGTAGCCTCACAGAGAGCACTAACGGGGCCCTCTGAAAGGTGTGTGCTCATCATGGATTCTCACTGTTGGGTTCCGCCTTCTCAAGTTCATTCCCCCCCACCTTTTTGTCACATGTTATACATGCTGTCAGTGTTTCAGTGATGATGGGCGTGTCCCTGTTAGATTCGGTCCTTGCCAGGTGGAGAGGTCTCAGTCCGAGGGTCCCAGCCAGTGAGAGCTGTGGCGGCAGCATCCGCGCATCCTTCCGTTGAAGCAGTGAGACTATGCCGGGCGGATGGCTGTTGTTTGAACTCTGGCCATGGGGTCATTCTAAATCTGAATTCCAGACAGAAGATTCTGAAGCTGACTTGGCTGGAAAGGCGAGGCCTTGCCGGGCCTCCCATTACGGCTCCATGGCTGGTTTCTCGTGTCGCAGCAGGGCAAGTTTTCAGCGTGACCATGAGTCTGATGGGAGGGACACCTTTCAAGTATTGATTGTCCATGTTCTCACAGGCCCTCTCCCGTGCCATTTTTGTGGGGATTTGCATCACGTTAATCACCGACGCAGTCTCGAGCTGTCCTTGGAGTGATCCCCACGGCTGCTGGGAGCCAGCTTCCCTCTCCCTGGGCTCCCCTGTCCCTCTGCTCAGTTGCCGACAGCTGTGTGCGGGGTGGGAACAGCATACAGTACGCCACATTGGTGGACTCGGTGACGCAGACCAGACTTGTCCCACTTTCACCGTAGAGCACACAGTGGGACCGTACGAACGTGCCTCCCAGTCTATGTGAACAGAGATGAGATGGTTGTTGAGCTGAAGAAACTCTCTTTGATGGTGGGGAGACCCTGAATTTTATCAGCATCAGTTTCCGGGTCTGACCCCCGTTTGGTGTCAATTCATGGAGAAAAATAATAACCAAGCTGCCCGATTGGTGTCGGCATCAGCGACAACAGCGACACATCAGTGCCGTCGCTTCCCTGACATGTCAGTGAGTGGGGAGGGGCAGCAGGGGGAAGAAGCAAGGCTGGCAGCGTGGGAGTGGCTGAGCTTTACGTACCATCCCAACTAGGCAGCTCGATGAGTCATCGGCTTGTCACGTGGATTTAAAAGTGCATAGAGGGTAGAGTCTGTGGTTAAAGCAGATTGGGGTGCTAGTACTTGGATAGACAGATCAGTGGAATGAAGGGTACACAAAAGACTGAACTCCAGGTGAGGGTTGACTTTATGATAAAGGTGATACTCGGAGCCGGGGTGGGCTTTGTAACAAATACTTTTGAGAAAACTGCATAGTCATTTATGAAAAGATAAAATTAAGTCTATTCTTCATATTATACTCATGAAAACATCCAGGTAGACTTAAAGTGAAAAAAAACAAGCCAAAACAAAACATAAAAATGCACAAAGACTTCGTTTATGGCTTCGATACAGTAAAAGGGCTTTTTCCCAATGACTCCAAAATCCAGACGCATGAAGTGAAAGGAGGAACGAAGTCAACTACTTGCAAGAAAAAAGGGAGGGGGGGGGTTAAGTAAAAGAACAAAAACGAGAACCATAAAGTCATTAGGCAAATGATAAAATGAGAGAGAGATTTGTACTGTGTAGCACATATCAAAAACCACCACCACCAACAGACGAACCTGCCTGCTGCCAGGAGTCGGTGCTGACTCACAGCGGCCTCCGAGGACAGGCAGAACCGCGCCGGTGAGTGTCTGCGACCGTGACTGTATGGAAGGAGTGAGCCCCGTCTTCTGCAGAGTGGCTGGTAGATTCAACCTGTGGACCTTGCAGATCGTAGCCCATTGTGTCACCACTAGGCCACCAGGGCTTCTCTCAAAGCCTTGAACCCCTCCATGTAGCAAGGATTGGGGGAACGGTGCCTGACAGGACATTCTCTTTGGTTCTGTTGCACACAGGGTCACTGTGAGTCAGAGCGGGCTCAAAGGCATTGGCCAACAACAATAATAGAGACCGCACATTTTTCAATTGAGAGGAAATTCCCCAAATTCCTATAGGAAAAAACCGAGCTGAAGACAAGGATAGATGATTCCTAATAAATAATGAAATGACTCTACAACATGTATAACTTCACTCATATTAAGAAAAATGCACGTGAAACGATAATGAGAGAGCATTTGTCAGCCATCAGAGTGGGAAAATTTTAGAAGCTTAACGATTCCCCCCATTGGCGAGTCTGTGGGAAAAGAGGCGCTCTCGTGCACTGCTGTGGGGGTGGAGAATGGCAGTCCCCGTGGAGGGAAATTTGGCAGCTTCTGACCCAACTTCTTGTGCATAAACCCTTTGACCCTCATCAACCTCTGAAAATGAGTCTCCAGCTGTGAAATTACGTATCCACAAGTTTCCTCACTCATTGAGTATGCTCCTAATGTCAGGATGTTTGGGAAAACGGTGACACATACGAGGCCAAACAGCAGAATGAGGACGATAGCTACCGCTGAGACGAATGATTTCTGGGTTGTGTCGCACGCAAGCAGCAAGAACATGGTGCCAGAGGTCTCCTCCTACTGCGCACTGGTGTTGTGTTGTGTAAAAATAGAGGAAGCAAGAAGATATAGGTATCTGCTTATTTATTTATTTTTACAGAAAGGAACAAAAGAAGGGAAATCAGAAGCAGGAAATCTGATTAGCTGTAGGATGACAGGGGCGGAGAGAGTGGGATGCAGCAAAGCGAACTGTTGACACTACTACTTTTTTTAAAATTTTAAGTCATTTTCTTGGGGGCTCATACAACTCTCATCACAATCCATGCATCCATCCATTGTTTCAAGCACATCTGTACATTTGTTGCCATCATCATTCTCAAAACATTTTCTTTCTACTTGAGCCCTTGGTATCAGCTCCTCATTTTTCCCCTCCCCCATCCCTCCCTCATGAGACTACTCCTTTTTTATGGGTAGTTTTAGCTTTGGAAACATGTCAATGTTCCAGATAGCCAAAGTTAGAATAACACCCACAAGATAGGGGAAGAAAAAAACCCCTGAAAATGGATGTAAGCAGAATCAAATGTCCCCAACATGTATTTCAAATTAATAGTCGAACAACCCAGAAAGAGGGGCGTGAGGAACTCAAACCCTTTGAATAGTACTGGCATACACTATTAAATTTGAACACAGCACTTCAACTCCATACCCTTAATCCAGGGGCTGGGACAATGTTCAAGTCCTTTCATTGGAACGTGGTCACTTGTCGTAATATGGTTAGAACAGTTTTGGTTGTTTGGGAAGTGCTGCAGCGTGGAGCAAATGCGTGCACGAGGGAAGCCAACGCTAATACCTGTGGGTTAGACTGGGATTGAAGGGATCAGCATGAAATCCCGACTCCATTCATTGAAAGGACCTAGAAACAATAGTCCTTTATTAGCTGTGAGCACATCTAGTACTTGGATCCCGGCTTCTAAACACCCCTCCCTGTTACTAACAGAAACAGGTTCCCAGGAGACAGTGTTAATTCCAGGACTGGGGAAAGGAAGATACAAAAAGAAAGCTTGGGACACTTTGTGCCAGGACACGAGGAAGTGCTCAGAACGTCATATCAAACTTGAAGCAGCTGCGCTTTCTGGTGGAGAAGAGGAGTCACGGAGAGTAACCTGTTAAACAGAACAGATAAACTCCAATGAACTAACCCACAGACAACGAACTGGGCAGGGGTACAGCGGACGGGAAAGTGGTGACTGGCAAACGTGACAGGCATGGCAGAGTTGGACAATCATTCTGCAGCCAGGTTTGTAGAGGCCAGTGAGGATCCTCAAGGGATGCTAAATCAAGGGGTGCTTTGGGATGAGGAACAGGGATTCTCAGGCCTCAACGGAGCTCAGGGCTAGAGATTTTTGATTAGTTGGGGGCGGGGGGCAGTATTGATAAGGTGGGAAGTGGAGCCCTGGGGGATATAGTCATTAAGCGTTGGATGCTAACCAAAAAGTTGGTAGTTAAAACCCACCAACTTCACCAAGGAAGAAAGATGTGGTACTCATCCCCTGTCAGGATCACAGCCTTAGAAAAGATAGGCATCAGCTAGAGGGCAAGGTCTGTCTGTGCAGTGGAAGCAGCCAGACAGCATCTCAGCAGGTCATCAGGGTGAACTTCACCTCACCAATGGGGAACAGATGGCCATTGGGGTCTCAGGAGAAGGACACAGAGCACGTGGGTCGTAGTCCACATGGGCTGTGAAACCAGAGACTCCTGGCAAGAGAGAGGTTAAGCTTGGAGTGATGCTCTCCTTTGATGCTCTGAGTCACACAAACTGGTTGTTTTAGGGTTAATAGTGGGTGGCTAGCTGGATGGCATGGAGTCAACTCTGCCCAACAGCACCCAGAGACCCAGTAGAATGCCAGCGGCCTCGGTCACCCATCATCGTGGCCATGCATTCATCCCTCCCCCAAGGGGGTCTCCTCACCTTTGCTGCCCCTCCCTCTGCTGCACTAAGCATGCTGCCCCTCCAGCAGCTGATCTCTCCTGGTGGCATTTCTACAGCAAGTGAGTCACGCTGGTTTCTGTCGAGTTCTGTGGCTCATTTGTGGCAGCTAGTCTTGGGGCCTTTATTCCTCATCTGCCTTTGTGTGGAAACCCTGCTAAAATCTAGATATTGGTGATGTACCTTCCAGCAGCCTAGTAGCATGCAAGCCGAATTGATCTGTGTTGGAAAGGGGGAGGTGAAGAAATTGAAAAACAAACCAACAAACCGTCGCTACTCAAGCTTTCCCACTAAAGAACTCTTAGCATCAGAGGCAAGATAGATGGTTCTGGAAGCCACTCTGGACAATGTAGTTGCAGAGGAAATGTATTTGAAGTCTTGTGCTTTGTCTTAAACATTTATGTGA